AGAAAAGGAAAACGCAGAAAAGGAAAACGCAGAAAAGGAAAACGCAGAAAAGGAAAACGCAGAAAAGGAAAACATCGAAAAAAAATACTGAAAAGGAAAACGTAGAAAAGGAAAATGTAGAAAAGGAAAATATCGAAAAGGAAAACATCGAAAAGGAAAATATAGAAAAGGAAAAAACAGAAGAGGAAAACATCGAAAAGGAAAATATAGAAAAGGAAAAAACAGAAGAGGAAAACGTCGAAATGATTGGTGTTGTCCTTTTGATGGATGATAAGTACTATGCTTTATTAATTTAGAATGAAAAAGACTAGGGCGAATTCACAACACAATCGCATCTAATTTTTTTTCTTTCCGATTAACTGTGATAAACCTGACAATAGTTTCTTTGCCCTGATCTACTTCTTGAAAAATCTGTTGTACAGTGTCAAATTTTATTTGAAAAACTCTTTTTTTTTGCTGGTTGTTTCGGTGTTGATGCACCAGCATCAACTTGAATTGAAATATGTTCAAAACGAACATGTTCGCTTTTGATCGTCTGAATGAAGCTTCAAATATTTTAAGTAAAATATTATACCGATGTGTACAGTGATACATACGATATTCAACAATAGTTGGCATGATTGTTGTTGCACCTTTAGAAAGATTCGCTTCGCGACTTTTTCATCATATATTTTTGTGACGGATGTTGTTTCAGTTAATATTCGTTCTTTCACTTTGTCTCATAAAAGTTTTATTTCTAATTGATCCGATGGAAAGAGTGATTGTGATCACCTGTGATAGATATCATTTCATCAGCGACACTTGTGTGTATGTATGTATATGTTGGAGTAGAAATTAAAATTCAGTAGAATTTTAATTTCTACTCCAACATATACACCACATTCTCGCTCAATAGAGAACCAATATTTTTTATGCACTGTTGTCTTATTGGACTTGAATAAATAATTCTCATATCTTAATCATGGTTTATCCTTGTTAGATGTGGAAAACGACATGTCAAAACGTTGGGTTTCACATGAACTACTCTCAAAATTTAAGTTTGTCGTCATTCTGACGATATATCTCTTCAATATTTGAAAAATTTCTTAATTCGATGAACAATAAAATATACGGAGCGAAAGAGTAGCCAATGAGAATAAAAAAAACGAAATTTCTCTACTGATATCTTCAAATATATTCGACGTTTTCCTCTTCTGTTTTTTCCTTTTCTATATTTTCCTTTTCGATGTTTTTCTTTTCGATATTTTCCTTTTCTACATTTTCCTTTTCTACGTTTTCCTTTTCAGTATTTTTTTTCGACGTTTTCCTTTTCTGCGTTTTCCTTTTCTACGTTTTCCACCAAGACCCAAAAACCGGCCATTTATATTGGACACCCGTTTGAACGAGATTTTGAAATTGATATTGATACTATTGGAACTGCTTTTCTATCGAAAAAACATAAAAGAAAAAAAAATTTTGAAAATGAACAAAATAATTGTATATCATTCTCGAATAAGAACGTATTTTTTCCTATTAATAATAAGCATTTGTGAACATCTAATAGTGATTGAAGACTAAAATTGAAGAAGTAAACGTACTCAATAAAAAGTGCATATACTAATTAAAGCGGGTTTAATGCACTACTAGAGGAGTTAATGCTTGAGCTTTGCATACAGTACAATCGAGAAGTTCAGTTCCCATGAAAAAACTTTTTTGCATCGGACTCAGCAAGGGGAAGAAAGCGGAGCTCATTTAACAGTTTATTGCTACCCCTACAAAATTGACCTTACGCCGCCCATGCCTAGTCGTATGACTTGAACATACGTGCCATTACATTTACATTAATCAAAAGCATTTCTGAATAGATAGGAGAAATCTTTAACTCTTTGGGGACGGGAAGCACATATGTGTGCTTCATATAGTACAGTAACCCTGTCCCCAAAGGGTTCAACAAGCAGTATTGTTTTAAGTACGGATTGATTTCTTTTTTCTTTGAAACCGACTCATTTTCTCTTTTAATTTGACGTATTTTCTCTTTGAAATTGAACTATTTTCTCTCAACGATTTATTAGATTAAGTCTCTTGATGACACATCAACTAGTTCTCCTTATGATATCAAGAGAAAGTTTTTTGCATTAGAGAAAAGAACTGGTTCTCTTAGGTATAGTTCATTCGACCTACTAAAAGATAAAAAGCCGCTAAGTGTTCGTAAAATTTTCAGGGAGAAAGCTATAATTTAAAAAAGAATTAGGAAGGGGAAATCCCCTCCTTCCCCCCGTAATCGTATGGCCTGACAACCTCCAGCAATCAAAAGTTTAGCCCCATGTACTGGCCTCCGATTACAAATTTTCGAAATTATAGAAATTCCTATATAGGATTTCGTTTTCTGAATTATACGATTATTTTCACTAAAAAAAGGTAAAAAATTGACCAAAATTTAGGTATTGTACGTTGAACTGCATCTCAAATGTATGTGCTTTACTTGCAAGAAACAGCTATTCACATTACCTGGTTTTTTCGTAAAAAGTGATCATCGAGGGGGGGGGGGCGGGTAGCGCTGCGAAGATCCCCGTACTCCCCTCAGGGCAAAGTCAAATCTCGTAAAATTTTTCCACTTTTTTTGACAAAATATAGGAAAAATAGGAAAATCAATCGAAATATAGGACAAAATTTAGGATTTGTCAAAAAAATAGGAATTATAGGAATTATAGGATGAATCGGAGCCCAGGTATTGTCTTGTAAAGAAGTGAAAATACTTAATTTTAGAAAGTTCGAAATCGATCCGTGATCGAAATTGCTATTGTTTAAAAAACCGTGTTCCATACCCTATTAAGTTGAAAATTTGTAATACATTAGAAATGAATTCAAAATAAAAGATTTGATTGATTTGTATATAGATCATTGTTTGTGCTACAATGTTGAGTAATGAACATGACAGATTCTTCAAATATTCTTGAACTTGAGGAAGATTTGTTTTTGAGTTCTTTTCATGTACTAAAATTCGAACTTACGTATTATTTTATCTAAACTTATCTTATTTAGCACTTCGATTAGCCTTTCTACAAACTACTTGTTTGTTTGAGATTCAGGAATAAATTACTCAATAATAAGTATGATGCAAAATTCATGGCATAAAATACTTTCGAATGATGTATGATTTATATTTGTCACACACACACTAAAATAAAATGTGTCGTATATATGTGTCGCACAAGAATGTGTCGCAGACTCCATTACAAAAATGTGTCGTACAAAAATGTGTCGCATTATAGATGTGTCATAGCCTATATATCAATCGTTCATTCACCGATTTGTTTCGCGAGTGCAGCTGCATATAATCGAGCCTATTGGACGTACTTGACTTATACATTTTCGTATGTCTTTTTTTTCTAGATTATTTCTCGACCATTTATTATTCGAGAACATGTCGAGAGGTCGCTAGATGATCGAGAATGGACTGCCTCGAAGTAGTCTGATCGAGATCAAATGGTCTCGAGGCAGCTAGATCTTAAGATCTACCGTCTCGAACTCCAAGAATAGGTGCTACTGTTTGAAATTAACTGAAAAAATAGTGACTATTCGAATTTTCAAAAAAAAATAATCCTCGTGCCGAAAAATGGATTCAAACCACGTGTTAAAAATGTGTCGCATGTGTCGCACAAGAATGTGTCGCACGTCCGCTGGAAGAAATGTGTCGCAACGAGCTCCTCGTGTCGCATATTAATGTGTCGTACATTGTGTCGCACTTTGCGACACATGCGACACATTTTATGTTAGTGTGCATTCGTAAATGGAATAAGAAAGAAAAATACTTACACAAACAATTTGTAATTTTTTTATATGAATCAGTCAAAAACGTCTTATGGATGGTAGTTAAGTGTAATTAACTATCGTTATTATCTAGCAAGATGTTTTTAACGAATTCATATAAAAGTGGCAAATTTATTTTGTCTCATTTCACTCAGAAATGTGTGACGAACATAAATCATACACCGTTTCCTATCAACTGATAACAAAATTGTTTTTCCTTACGTTCAAATTCTATTATAACTCATTTTATTGTAAAATCCAAACAATAAAAAATGAAATAATTCTTAAATATATTTCAAACTCGAACTAACGAAATCAGTGAATATGTTGGAAAAATTCGATAAAAAAGAAAATTTCATTTACGATAAAATTCGGGTTCATCGCAATTTTTCACGTTACCAGTTAAATTTTAGTTAGTTTTAGTCAAACTAAAGATTCTTACACAAAGTATTTGAAAAAAATCAACAATGTTTTGTTTTCAACATTGAGAAAAACCAGATTCTAATCAAGTTCATAAGTAAAAGACTTTTGTAATTGAGAGCAGTTCAATACTGTTTAAAACAAATGAGAATGACTCATTTCAATGAAATCGAAGTTTATTTCTACTTCATACTTTTGTTTTATTTCAGTACCACTACGTGCAAGTTCCACTGATATTCATCCAAATGCAAAATGGTCACAGAATGGTATCACTGTTGCTGGAGGAAATGGATGGGGCAGTCAAACCAATCAACTCTATTACCCATTGGGTTTGTACGTCGATGATGATCGAACGATTTATGTCGCTGATCATTTGAATCACCGTATCGTGAAATGGAAATCTGGTGCAACGAATGGAAAAGTAGTTGCTGGTGGGAATGAATATGGAAATGGAGCTCACCAATTAAATCGCCCAGTAGATGTGATTATCGGCAAAGAGAGCGATAGTCTCGTCATCAGCGATCGGGATAATAAAAGAGTAGTTCGATGGCCTCGTCTAAATGGTACTAGTGGAGAAACGATTATTTCGAATATTGCTTGCGTGGGTTTGACAATGGACGACAATGGTTCTCTCTATGTCGTTGATGATGAAAAACATGAAGTGAGACGATATCAAATTGGTGACACTAAAGGAACAGTAGTTGCAGGTGGCAATGGAGAAGGAAATCGTAGCGATCAACTCTCCGAACCCCGCTACGTATTTGTCGATCGAGATCATTCAGTATATGTGTCTGATGGGGTAAATCATCGTGTAATGAAATGGGAAGAAGGTGCAAAACAAGGCATTGTCGTAGCCGGTGGTCAAGGACAAGGAAATAGTCTTGCACAATTGAATAATCCTCAAGGAGTCGTTGTCGATCAATTGGGTACTGTCTATGTGACTGATGATGGGAATCATCGAATCATGCGTTGGCCAAACGGAGCCACCCAAGGAAGTGTCATTGTTGATGGAAACGGTAAAGGAGCACAGTCAAATCAACTCAATTATCCCATAGGTTTATCATTTGATCGACATAGCAATCTATATGTCGTCGATTGGGGAAATCATCGAGTACAAAAATTTAATATCGTATGAAACTCAATACGAAGATGAATTTTATTTTTCTTTGTTCTCTTTCTCTTTCAAATAAATCACGATTGAATGAAAAAATGAATTCATTACTATTCTATTCTCGCACGCGCGCGACCAGGAACCATCCTGGTGAAGCCGTGGCGAGCGTAGAGCTTATGCACGCGCGGGAAGGCCCACATCATCCACATGCACCCATCCGGTGTCATATGTCAGTGAGTCTGGGGGCCCGATCGTGTGCCACAGACACCAAGACAGTTCCTGGCAGAGCTTTTAGGGACTACCCGGAAGTCCTTCTTATAAAGCGAAACCCTGAACTCAATTTATCTCACTCACTCTAACATCTCTCATCTCAAGAAAAAGAAAAGGAAAAAAATGACTCACTCGTCGATGTTGAATGATTTTGATAACTAGAAGGAAAAGAAAAAAATATTACACGATGAAGAAAAAAAAAAGATAACTTACCCGTATTATCTATTTCTTCATTAGTCAATGGCTAAAATATAAAAAGATATATAAAAAAGATCATAGGAGGACTTACCATCATCCAAATAATCGTAAAAAGATAGAAAAAGATAAAGAAAATTAAAAGACGAATACCTACATTTTTTTTATTGTGTTGATTTGAATAATTTTGTATCGTTGAAGTCAATCTAAAATATAAAAAGAAAAGATTAGAATTTGATTCAATAAATTGAATGATTTTTACATAGAAAATCATTCATATTTATATGCTAAAAATCGATAATTTTGTTTTTTTTTCTCGTCAGAGAGTGATGAAAAAATGATAGTAATTAAGCTATCATCAACATACACACATACATTGAGATAAATTCAATCACAAATATCTCAATGTATGTGTATGGATAATGCTTAATTGATATACACATGGATTATGTCATATTATCATTGATCATTAATGATAACCTGAACAATGATGAGTTGCGAACGAGAGAAGAAAAGAAAAAAATATTGTCGTGACCTATATTATTTTTTCATTCTTCTCTTGCTTCCATATTCAGTTGTGAACACGAAACAGACGAGCACACAATATGCAAGTATGTTCATATCATTCACTTCTTTTTTGTTCTGTTCAATAGATCAACTTTGAGATATGAACAAACATTTTATTTTATTTTAATTCAATTTAAATGAAATCATTGAAAAATGATCGATATTGGGTTTTAACAGTTCATTCAACATTAAATTTATTTGCTGCTCAAAAGATTTTATTGATCTAAAGGAACACCTGGTCAACCATGATACACTCGAACAATACAATAAACAATTACAAGATAAAACAACTAATACGGGTGAGAAACGGGCACCACCATCGGATGATGATGATACAAATGTGATGAATATGGATAGTGATGATTGGCAACAAATGACACCACAAGGAAAGACAAAAAACAAAAACAAATAGTGATGTAATTTTCGTCAATAAAACTCGAAACGTGAATGAAAAACCTTTTCAACGAAAAGAGAGAACCATCTATGATAATAATAATCAACAACAAGGTCAATTTAACATCTCTGACCAAGCATTAACATACGCAGTTGAAAATAATCTTCCATCAATAAAAATAGAATGTTCTCCTCGACTTGAAGATCGTGAACAAGCAAAAAAATTTGTAATAAATTTTTTTAAATGTATTGCTGATATTTTTCGAAAAAAATATCCTGGCAATCTACAACCGCTAGGATTTCACCATTGGTGGATTAATACGACTGGTAACATATTATACGGGGTAGTTAATGATATTGATTTATGTATTTATTTATGTGATATAAAACATTACCCAACAAAAATCGACAATGTTACAATTAGACCTGATCCACCTAAACGACTTCCACCACAAAACAATATTGTTATTAAGTTTATACCAAATGAATTATGTAAAGATGATATTAAAGAAGAAATCAAGAACCTGTATCCATCAATATATACAATTGATAATATGATGGGCACAATGGGATCAAACAGTCGACATATTCGAGTCGAATTTTGGCAGAAAGACGATTATTTCAAAATTATAAATGACGGTAAAATTGGTCTTCAAGGTCAAGTATTCGAAGTTGAGGAATATCTACCACCACCAAAAATCCTCATATGCTCTAAATGCAATACACCAGATCATGCAGAAAAAGTTTGTCTAGCACTAAATGATATTTGTCGAAGATGTGGTCAAAACAGAAACAATGGGGATAAACATAATGAATGTTCTGTTTTATGCCACCATTGTGGTGGAAATCATATGGTCACAGACTACAAGTGTCCAATAATAGTCAAATTTCGTCAACAATTTCTGATTAGATTAAAACATGACCAAAGCAAATTACCACCAAATATTAAAATTTTTATACCTGTCGATTGTCGAGTAAATGGTGATCGGAATAGAATATTAACAACTCAAAATAGTACGGAAAGTCGGCACTCGATTCCATCAAGACCACCAGCAATTAATCCATGGACAACAAATCAAAATATGTACAAAGAAACACCTTATAACAATCAAATTGATCAAACAATAAAAACACTTGTTAATGAATTAGCAGAAACGAAGAAAAACTTTGAAACTGAACGAGAAAAAATAAAAAACTGCTATGAAAAACAAATTCAATGTATTCAACAAGGATGGGTAATGTTACAACAACAAGTACAAACACAAAACCAATGCATTACACTCATGTCAGCAATGATCAAAGACAATATATCAACAATGAATCAATTATTTTCAACAATAACAACAATAAATGAAACAATGAAATCAAAATGTTCCGATGAACTAGATCGAAATAAAATTGAAATGTCACAAATGATAATCAATTCAATATTAAATCATTTTAAAAATTTAAACGATTCGTATACAAAACAAGAATATAATTTAACACTTATTATGAACAAACAATCGACAATTTTTGAAACGGCATTAAATTCTATTTTATCGTCAATACATGAATAAACAAAACCAATCAAATGAACCGAACAATGTTTGTTTTTCACTAGTAGATAAATTTTTAGGATCGATAGAGGAGAAAAAACTAGTATTTGATATTTTAAATGAATGGAACAATCGATCATCCATTTCTGAATTATGTAAGGCGTGGGAGAAAATAAGACCTAAAAATGAATCGGAAAATCTTCTTATACTTTTATATACTTAGGGGTATCCAAAAGTAGTGGCAACGACATTTTAGTACCACTTAGTAAGCTTGATAAAAATTTCTTTTTACACAGGATGATAGAGAAAAAAATGCTCTTTCTTTCTATGCTATTTGATCATACTTCACATAATATAATGGTAATAAATTTCCAGTAAGATTCGTTTCGTTATCATTCATGATCGTTATACTGGCTTATAACGGATAAGACAGGTTAATTTTCCGTCCCTTAACATATTGCATCAATGATCGAAACATACCGTCAGATGCAGTATGAAAAGCTCTACAATCTACATAAGAGCACTTATTCCATAGTTGTACTTTTTGTTTTCAAAGTGGACAAAACTTTGAGAGATCAGATTTTGAGCATTGCAAAAATTGATCGCATAGAAATGTGCTCTTTTTGAAAGCAATTTACTGTGAAGATTGTACAGCTTTTCACGCTGCATCTTGTGTGTGTTTTACTTTTCTACTAATAAAGCATTTTCGTAATGGAACGATGACATAACAAAAAATGAATTCGTCATGTATCAAAAAAGTTATCTTTTCCCCATGATAGGCGCCTGATCGCTAAAAGGTTGTCCATTCTAAACACACAAAGTGCAACTATAAAATACGTAGTCATATGTAGATTGTAGAGCTTTTCACGCTGCATCTTTTAGTATATTCTGCTTCTTAATAGAACACATAAAAAAAATTGAAAACTGCAATGCAAACTTATAACGAGCACGAATGATAACGAAACGAATCTTACTGGAAATTTATTACCATTATATTATGTGAAGTATGATCAAATAGCATAGAAAGAAAGAGCATTTTTTTCTCTATCATCCTGTGTAAAAAGAAACTTTTATCAAGCTTACTAAGTGGTACTAAAATGTCGTTGCCACTACTTTTGGATACCCCTAAGTAGCACACAATACCATATATGCAGTACGAGATAAAAGAAAAAACGTGATGATGCACTGTTATCTGTTATTTGTTCTTTTTCTTTTCCTTCGTTATTTAAATAGGACCTCCTAATTTTGAGATCAATTCACGAATCAGAAGTAGAGAGACGGTTTTATTTTCATAGAAATGATACTGGGTAAGGATCAACATTTTTCGAATCAATCAAATTTCAATGGATTTGTATTCAAAGCAGATGATCAATCTATATTAGTTCCTTGTTTTCCGTTGAGAACTTAGCGAATTTTTATACTTAGACAACCAACTTTTCTGGATTCGGTTCTATATTCACAGTTTTTCGCATGATTTTCATGTTAGAGCCCAACTTCATAACGCTTTATAGAGATCTTTTACTCGAAATAAAAATTTTATTTGTCAGAAGCGAGGGTGTGAGGTGTGGATTGGGTGTAAGCATGGGTGTAGGTGTGGATTGGGTGTAAGCATGGGTGTAGGTGTGGGTGAAGTGAACATCAACATTCCTACCCACCCACACCACACCCTTTGTGCAAAAGTTGGTCGAAAACGACAAAATTGTCGCATATTTTTAACTACAGAAAAAAATTAACATCAGCTCTGGTGCGAAAAATGTTGATCCCCAGCTTCGTCACTTCGCGGTACCCCTGATTGGAATACAAAATTTTAGAACGTACAGAACCTCAAAACATGAAAGTTGGCTAGTGCTCGTATTTACTAAAATAGAACATTTTTTGGAAACCAGCCTGTAATACTTTTGGTTGGTGTAGATGAATTCAGATATATGACATCCAAAAATTCAGAATGTACATTTGTATTCAGTTTTAGATTAATGAGTAATACTTTTCGGTTTTCATTACTATTGTTTAACATTATCTTTAATGCTATCAATAGCATGCCAACAGTTCCAAAAGGTTATTTATAAGGAGCAACGTAGGAGCTTGGGCCAACATCAGATAAATTATACAGAATTAATCCATTAACTGGAGAGTTTACGCTATTTAGTCTTTTGAATGATTACAAACCTGACGATGTTACCTATGATCTTATTAATAAAATATTCTATGTATTTTAGTTAATCCATTCAATGGTACAAAACAATACCGAAAAATTATCACAGAAAATTATGCTGAACTATTTGGTTTACGTGTCGATAGTAGTACAGGCAAATTATATTCATTACAAATGTCAGGTGCAGGAGAAAATCCTGTAAGTATTGTTCAAATAGATCGAATTAATTTTATAGCTACTTGGTGGGTAAATATTACCAAAGTTGATGGTGTTTCACCTGATTCAATGACAATCTTTTATAATTCAACAAATCATCGATATTTGGTGACAGTGGTGTCTGGTATCAAAGATATTCTTGTTGTTATTGATTTAATGAAACAAAAAATAATAAGTCGAATTTCAAATTTTGATTTACCATCCTATTTATGTTATGATAATAAAACGGATGCTTTTTATGGTATGCAACGTTCTATAAATAAGCGTGGCTGTCGTTTGGTACGTTTAAATCCTTATAATGGTACAACAGACGTTTTATCAGACGATTTCAATAATTACGAACCATCAGCTGGAAATTGCTATGAAGGATATTATTTTACAATGATTGTTTTGAATTCAGAAACGCAGAAAATACTGACATTTGATTAAAACAATAATGGTAAATTAATATCAAATAAACTAGGAAAAGAATATTTATGTTTATTAGCATTTATTCCCACCTAGTCATGTCTATTTGACGGCATCCCAATATTTTCTCTAATAAATTTGAAGTTCTTCTTTTCTGAATAAGTCATTCTTGCAGGAACTATGCAAATTTTTTTATGCACGGTTACAATCATTTTTCCTTGCTCAGAAGCAAACGGAAGTTGGAGGATGTGGATGTACATGTGAGGGTGTGGATGTGGGGTGTGAGTAGTTGTAGATATCATTCTCCTTCTCACACCCACACCCTTTTTTCTTCTTTCTTTTAAATAATTCAATAATAATTTGATAATAGAAAAATGAACTTTCTTTCCATTCATTTAGACAACACTGCATTTTTCTGTTATATGTTTATTTTCCTTGAAGATTTAAAAAAACGTTTTCTGCTATACACTTTCTTTTGATATGATTCGTTAACTAACCATGTCGATTTCATGTTCTCACAAGTATCAATTCGTTCTTGCAGACCGATTACATCTATTCATAGTAGTGTCTTACGTTTTAGTATAAAGTTTATAAAATGATGCACTGTCCGTCTTCTACCAATGCATCATATTTCGAGTCTTATTAGCTTTATTAGTCTGATTACTTCCCGCAGAGCTCTTGTAACGAGTATACAGATGAAATCTATTTTTCGAACGCTACTTCAACACGATAGTGAGCAACTACATATTTATTTTTACGGTCAAATATCTCTCACAATCACTCATTCACTGACTCTTACCGAATTTAAGTGGACAAATTTAGTTAAGTAGGTTGAATGCCAACTTGTTTGACATGATTTCACGCATCACCATTCTAGAGAATCTCATAGGCAATCATAGTTCAAAGTTGGATGATGTTCGATGTACATTCTAGTTTATTTTGATGTGTCAAGTTATTCTTTGATTATTTTGAAAATTTCAGTTATGAATAACAACCAAAGTTCGAATGCTACGGAAAATATTTCCGTCTCCAGCACCGAAATCTCTCTACCACGTACTGCTCCCTTTTGGATTCTTCTTCTATTTGATATTCCATCCACAACTTGTGCATTTTTTGTTCTCTTCTGTATCCTTACTGATCGAAGCTTACGCTCTAACATCAAGAATTATGTTCTCGTTATTTTATTGCTTCTTGGCCTAGGTTCTCAATTAATTGATGTTCCTTTTTATCTTAATTTTATCGCTCATTCGAGCGTTGTTCCATAAAAATCCATCGATTTGTCTCTTGTGGTGGTTTATGAATATTGGTATGTACGATGGAGGAACAATACTTATAGCTTGGTCTGCTTTTGAACGGCATATTATCGTATTTCATCACCAATGGATTTCAACAAGAACGAGACGAATCATAATACACTATTTCCCATTACTTTTTTTAAATCCTATATATTTCTATTTATTATATTTATGCCATTTATTATTTTCCTTGTGAAAATACTTACGACTACACATTGCCACTCTGCGGTGGATTCCCATGCTATGCATATGATTCGATCATGGGCATGTAGGACTGGATTGTCAATATTGCATCACCAACATTTCTCGAAGCATTGCTGAGTTTGACTTTCCTTTTTTCGAGTCCTCTGGCAGAAGCATCATTCTCATTTACCAACCCAATGGCGCAAGCACCGTAAAATGACAATACAGCTCATGTCTCTATCTTCTCTTAACATGGCCTTCAACGTTCTACTCAGTATTATTAACATCGCTTACTTTTGTGGTTTATCAAATGATATTTGAGTCGAAGCGACCCAGTATTTCACATGTCTTTGTTATTTTGTCATTTTTCTCGTTCCTTTGATTTGTCTTGCATCGATGAGTGGTGTCACGAAAAATTTTTTCGAAAGAATACTTCGTCGACGACGGCTATTAATTCAACAATTTAAGGTCACGATCAAACCTGGAAATTTCAGTTTAAATACAACCATACGACATTGAATAAAGCATTTTGAAACTATATCGATGTTGTCCTTTTAAAAATCAAACAATGTTGTGACTAATGAGAAAAACCAATTCTTAAAAAAATAAATCCAATGTATTTCTGTTCTGTTGTATCGTGTTGAAAAAATAACATAAAATTTTGATAATCCTATGTGCATTGAGTTTTGAACAATCTAACAGTTGCTCGGATTTGATGAACAAACGTCATGAGATACGACAGTCGAAGTTTAATGAAATGAGAATGTGATAGGAGAGAAAGTGTGTTTTTCACATGGGTCTGTATTGTATACCATTGATTTCTGATGGATCGATTTGAGTATCACTGTGAAGAGATTAATTATAAATCTGTTCCCTTTTTTGATACAAGGTATCTAATAAGGTTTGAGAAAAGTTTGAAGACATGCGAAGATATTTTTTCAGAAGAGTTTTCTTGATGATAATGCAAAAGTCATTTGATTGGAAACTATCAGCTAGTTCAAATCTCAAGAATTTTACTCAATAAAGTAATGTTCCGGATTTTTAGTAAAGCTTTTCGATCATTATAACTACTTTACTCCACTTGATATAGATTTTTCTAGCCTTCACTAATAGGATGTGTGTGTCTGAACAAATAATCTCACCGATATCCTCGAAATTCATTGTGCTGTAAGTTTGATACAATAATCATACAGACTCTTCCGGCTTTGCGTGTCTTACTTTGTAAAGAGTTATGAAATATATGTAAGATTGTCATGAAAATGGCAGATCTATCATAGATTTCACTTTAGATTATGGAGAAGATTCGGAACCAAATATTTTGTATACGTTACATTGTAGTCGTTACTTTTGTCTCGTTCTCTAGCTTGGCATAGATCATAACAATTAATGAACGTCATACTCTCATTACATCATTTGTCATAAGTCTTTTCTCTCATTCTATTCGCCTTCTTCTAAGAATATATTCGCAAACAATACGAATTTTTCTCTTTCATTCTGGCACAATTGACGGAGATGAAATGAGAATAAACATGTTATAATGATTTTTACGTCTCATAGTTCACCACACGAGAATTGTCTTATTCCTATGAGAGAAATGACATCATTAATTCCTTCATGTAATAACATTATGTCTCACGATTTTCATTGACATGGTCAGGGTTCATAGACCAAGCACATATATATATATTCAATGGCTCACATATCCAAGATAAGCATCAATAGTTAAATCTGAACATTTATTTCTTCAATTGATTGATTAAACGGGTGAGATAATTTTGATGATACGTAAGAATATGAAGAAGGTTGTGAGTGTTCTTTTTTATGTGGGGTGTGGCTTTATATGGAAAAAGTGAATTAACAATGATTTTTCCAAATCAGAAGGCCGAATAAACAATAAATAAATAGATAAATACATTAAATAAATAAATCAAATTTCTTTTTTTTATATAGCTTCTTAAATTATTATAGTTCTTTTTTTTTTGTTTTTGAAATTTTGAATTTGTTTTTGACGTTCTTTTAAGTACTTTTTTAATTCTAATACGAAAGAATCTAATTTATATAGAGTTATGAAAGAACAAAAATTATAAACACTTTTTGGAGTATTTTTTGTGTAAGAAAGATGAGCTTTAAATTTTAAGGAGACTTCCCCCTCAGAAACCAACTTTGTTATTTTTCATCCAATGTCAACCAAAATGTCAGAGAATGTTAGTCTTGGCTAGAATAGATTATGGTTAAAATATCTCCCGAAATCTGCGAGCTATTCACGAGTTATAGTCAATTCATTGATCAAAAATACCTTTTACGCGGGCAAGGTTTTCAATATGAGGAATCGAGGAAAGCATGTCGGGATGTTTTTAAATTGTAGAGTACACTTGGGGTTAGATCTTAATAGAGCCCGATTTGTTAATTTCTCTTTGTTTGCTTTTAAAAAAGAACTTTTCCCAAAAATTCTCAAATTCGTGGCCAAAAAATCGCTAATTAAACTCAAAGATCTAAGTTTTTTATTTAAACAAAGGAGAAATTCAAAAATCGGGCTCTAGTAGAATCTAGCCCCAAGTGTCTGCTCTATAACAAAAAAGCATTACCACTTTTACATTGAGTCGTTATTGAGTAAGGCTTGCCCGCGTAAACAGTATACTCGAAAAAATGGATTTTCAGAAAAACGGAAAATAAGTTTTTAAAAACCTTATTTTTTTCAATATAAAGGTTCAGAGAATCGTATGTAATATCCTTAAATCTCATCATAAAATCAATCAACTATAGTACATTCCCGAGTAGACACTTTGCTCTATCTAACTAGTTATAAATCACAAAATCGATAAATTTGACCGAAATTGACTTTCCTGAAGGGAGAGGGGGCTTAAGTGAACAAATTGCTATATAGTATGACTGGCAATGTGCAATAAGTAGAAATGTGCTTTATTTATTTAAATTTAGTGCTTTGTGTGAGAAAATGTTTATATCTTTTGAATTTGTTTTAGTGAAAACAAGAAATTCACCGTTTTCTTTTTATAGATTTATTTTATAATATCAAAGAATGAACTTATCTTAGACTGTGAGAAAAAAATGAATTCGTAAGACGAAATGAGTTTGTCTTTGGAATATGTATTTGAGATAGTATATGAATTTATTTTTAGAATATGAATGCGTACAAGTAAGTAAATTTGCTTTAGACCATGAAAGAATAATTTTATTTTGAATAATTTTATTTTGAGAATTTTAAGAAGCATTTATTTTAAGTAGTGACATAAATAAATTTAGTTCAGAATTGTGAAATGGCTGAGTTTGTTTTAGTTTGTCAAAGAATAATTTTGTTTTTGTATCCTTTCTTTTACAGAAAATGAAAAATTAAGTTAGTTTCTGGTACTTTTTTAGCATATATAAAGAAATATAAATAAATTTCTTTTTAATTCAGAAAAACAATACAGCGAGGGTCGTAAGAAGCTTGTACAGTTTTATTTATTTCTACATAGGTACCAATTACAAATAAAAAAGCTACTTATATTTAGTAACTATATCATCATCGTTGCCAATTATTGTCTG